TATATACATGTAACAATAATGGTGGTTCCTGACGTGCCGTTTCTATAGTTGCCTATTAATTATAAGAATATAAAAATGGAGGGACACATCATTGTTATATATTTACTATTATGATTATGAAAATGGGAATGCATACGTCAAGTTTTGTTATAAATCGGGTGGTAGTGAATGGGCCAGAATTTCTCCAGTTGAATGGTGTTCCAAGACTATGCTTGGTGAAGCTTAACCAAGACGGATCAAGTACGTTGCCAGTGATCTCCCAGTTACTATTATGGAATTGTTTTCTTTGCGACAATTAGGGTGGGGTAGATTGCTTTTTGTGTGCGTGTGCGTTATGACATTATCGAGGTCATGGTCATGTTAAGGGAGGAAGTTCCCTGCAGGATGGCTCTTGGACAGAATCCCCTCCTTCCTCCCCCCCCCCTTCATGAGCGCTCTATAACATGACCTTGGGTTTCTAGAATGGCATCTACATATTGAGGTCAGGTCCTTCCCGCGAGCAGGTGCTGGGTTGGGCACGGTGCCACCCCTTCCCCTAATACTACTATACCCATTCCCGACGCCGCCAACATTACCTTCCCCCACCCCAACCATACACTACTAACGTCACCAATCTTAACCACCAATTATCCCCTTCACAACCACACCCACACCACCATCACCCTCTTACACGCATCTCCTTCCCCCTTCCTCCATCGCCGCCGCGCCGCCGCCACCACCACCACACCACCACCACCACCACCACCACCACCACCACCACCACCACCACCACCACCTGGGCGGCCTGCCAGGTAGCCGCCCGCCTAATGCTTCTAGAACAACCCACACCCTCGCTAGAAAATATTCGACATATACTATATACACTCTGAGGTGTGTAAGTACACTTAGTACACATTTCACGCCTGAATGTGCATTTTTTTCCATATCAGTAGCGCTAAATGGCCCTTTCTGGTTTAGAGCCTTAAATAGATTATAATAAAACACATCAGTAGATATATTGAGTGGGCAGATACCTTTCCCCTCACCATTCACATACTTCAGCAGGTCTCAAGTTTTAGTACAAATCTACATAGTAATTTTTCCCAGGATGTAACCCACAACACTCGGTTATCACCCAGGTGATAAATATTTTTTTTTGCTGGGTAAGCAGATTTACCTATACTCTCCTTGCTCTGTGGGATCGAAGCAGAGGCCTATGTAAAATTTTCAATGAATAATGATCTAAAATTGATCTTATGTTGGGGATTATAGTGTACTTGTTGGTTATAAGTATTAAATACCTTAATGATCCTAACATTCAACGAGCCATATGAATAACATTAGTAGAGGTTAATTTTACTTAGTTTTCCCTTACGATATGATAAATTTGACCACAGATTATCGAAACTGTAGGTTGAGAGGGAGTCGTATCTTGCAAAGACTGTGCGCCTTTATGCTGGAATACAAGTTTAAATAACTTTGTGTGTAATGCTAATTTATTATGTGTAATTGTTAGTCTTGTGCCACATCGATAGTTTCCGCACTAAGATACGGTTATTCAGTGAAATACATTCACTAGTTGTCTCTCCAGACGTGCAAACATCAGTTCAGATGAACTTTGTTATTACGCTTTTTGGCTACGTAACGTAAATAAGTCGTGACTCCTAGTCTAAGGCCACTTATATTATTTAAAATAGAAAAAGAAACCACTCAACCACCAGCTTGTGCCTTCATACAAATTATTAACCATAAATTTAAATGGTCAGTGTGTTATGAGGAAGGACACAAAAACTCGCCAATACAAAAGTGTGTGTATATATAATATATATATATATATATATATATATATATATTATTATATATAATCTACACTACAACCAACATCACCACACTCCAGTTCACCTTAACCCAGTACATTAACTCAGTAGGACACTCCTACTAGTGGGTAAAAAAACAAATATTTATAAACAAAGAGGCTCCATGACATTCCTCCTTCTGCAGGCTGCTCAACCTGCAGGCTGGACAAGTACTCTCCCAAAACTTAAACAGGCCTCTGCACACTAAGGCCCTACAGGTAAACATTAGAGCACTTAAACCAAACTCATCTATGGTATAAACTTGCCCCTCCCCCCCCCCCCAAAAAAAAAAAAATACAAAAACAAACCGTGACAGTACAGCTAACCGGTTTTCTCGGAATTCCTTAATCAATGGTACAAGAAATATGCTGCACCTATAAAACAAAAATCCCGGCCAAACCTACTAGGCTCACTAGTCGTAGTCCCATCCTACCTTGGCCACATTACACGTTGTTTGTACCCACTGTTACCTGACATTAAAGTTGGCATGTTGACAATTATGCAATCTTTGAAAGGAACCCTGAAGTTATCTGAACATGTCTAGTGTGCTATTGAGTTAGCCAACATAAGAGAAGCATTTGAGATGCTACACTAGACGGTTGTCTATACCTCTAAACTCTAAAGGCAGGAACAGATAAAGTACATTGCAGTATGGAAAAATCATAAATTAAATGTGGTTCGGTCGCTGCGCCATATTTGAGGAAGGTATCTCTGCATCCTATAAGCCTAGCTCCCTCTGCCTCAATGCGCGTAAAAGAAAGAGTACGTAGCTTGATCGCTAGCCGAGTTCGTATCTCTGGTACGGCTGGAAAACATTAGGGACGTGTTTCCATAAGACGCCTGCTGTCCCTGTCCCTCTATCAGTATAAAATGGGTACCTGTGTGTTAGTCGAATGGTGTGGGTCGCATCCTGGGACAAAACTGACCTAATTTGCCCGAAATGCTCAGCACAACAAGCGGCTTTCATGTACGTGTAGTAAATAAAGATATTATTATGTATTGTAAAGTGAGTCATAAGGTTCTAATGCAAATAAATATCAGAGTTGATTTGGTGCTAAAAGACATTCCCAAGATGTCGCATGGAAACTCGTCAGTTTCTTAATCAAAAGGGGAAAATTGACACCTATACAACCAAACCCAATTCGACCTTTCACTTTGATAGACTAGCTTTGAAAGTTTAAAGCTAATCAAAAAAAAAAAAAAACTCGCTAGTTATTGACCAAAGACCAACATTCCAAAATACACCAGTTCTTAAATTTTAAAGGCAATCAGATATTTTATTACGTGTTAAGTTATCGGCGTTGAGGCTCTGAAGCTGATCAAATGCTGCATTAATAAATACACTCCAATACTATAAGTTTAAAGCCGACCAGATGATGCATTCTCAAGTTATTGCACGGAATCCAACTTCAAGTTTCGTTATATCAGATATAATAGACAAGTTAATGACTGACTTATTACCCCTTTTATGGAGATGTCTCCAGAAAAAATACCTAGTTGTTGTATATGTCTTAGACTCCGAATATATTAACCATGTTAGTAAACTGACAAATTTGCACATACGCGGACTAAACTCAAAGTATCATCCTTTACAGATAAATCGGCTATTAAAAATTTAAATAATTCAGAAGAGGCACACTCAAGTTATTTATTGGGAAAATAACACACCATTTTTAGAAATTAAAATAGGCATATTTGCAGCACACGCCAATCTTCTAAGTAGGATACACTGAAAGTGTGAAGATCAGATGAGGCTTTCTCAAATTGTTGCACAAATTTCTACCCCCCCCCCCCCCTCCCCCGAAAAAAAAGGAATTATCTACACAAGAGGACATCTGCAGGTGCCAAAAGTTGCAGTAACCATTTCTGTGTTACAGTACACCAGCGCTGAAAATTGAAAGCTAATTGGATCGGGCGTTCTCAGGTTATGAACAAAAACGTTTGAGGAAAAAAAAAAAAGGCTAAATATTTTAAAAGTTCGTGCTGTGTTAGTAATGATGTGAATAAAAATAACTTCTGTCAGATCCCGACTTATTGTTTATTAAATAAATTTAGGGACGATATATAACAAAGATAAAACACTCAGGAATGAAACAATGGAAACAGGTCGCTCAAAATTTCAATCTGTTCATGATTTTGGAAATGTAACATGATATACTACGGTAAATCCTTTGTTTTAGGTAAGGATATAATGACATTAATATAATAAACTTAGTATTTATGAAGTACTCACTTTAGTGGGTAGTCTTGATGCAAGTCGTACAAGGAAAATCTCGAATTGAAAGACATTACTTCAAGGAGAGATGCTAATGTTTCTCCTTAAAACCGTTAGAGTAATGTATGTTTGTGTTTTTTATAAATATATTTTAATCCAACAGGCTTGTGTGAATGTATTAGCTAAGAGTGGAAGCACGTTATCATGATTTGACGTGCTGTTGGAGTGTGAGCAAAGTAACATTTATGAAGAGATTCAGGAGAAACGGGTTAACCGGACTGGGGACGGGAAGTAGAGTACCTGCACTCAGGAAGGGTAGGGATATTGCAGTTTGGAGGGCCATATCAACTGTGATATCAGCGCACCTATGGCAGGAGTGGGTGAATGACTGTGCAGTTTCTTTTCTTCGGGTCGCCCAACATTTGTGGGAAACTGGCCAGTGTGTAAGAAATTAAGTCTGGCGAACACTGAGATTTTTATGATGGATCATAATAGGATTCAGAGTAGGGACCACTAAATTTCTCATTAATGTAAATTTTATATATATTATATATATATATATTATTATATATATATATATATATATATATATATTTATATATATTATATATTAATATATATATATATATATAAATTATAAAAATTATATAAAATCGTTTCACCGAGAGACGGTTTGTCCTAGGAATTTCACTTCTCGTCGACATGCTTCTGTTCAGACTCCTGTTAGCAGGCTTTGTTTACCCCTTAAAGCTATTGGTTGCTGGATGAGTATGACCCTAGTAGGTTTAGCGCTTCTTTATTATAAATAATGCTGGACGAGTGCTGCCTTATACTTAAGTCTTTAAAACTGTAAATTTCCTGTTTGCAAATATCAAAAGCTGTTGACACTTCATTCTTCTATTCTACCACTTGCTGACTCGTGTTCCACTTGACACTTAAACCGGGTGTAGTTTAAAGTGACGCGTAAGATCTCAGTGGCATAATACCAGACACACGATTTGTCAACGTATACAAGAATAGATAAATGCCAGCATTGTGAAGAGTGGTGTAAGCAAGGAGTGCACAAGGACACCCACCACACTAACATAACACAACGTCAGGCTCGGCTATGTGGCCTTCACACATTGCCCGGCCCCTCAAGCGGGCTCCCATCAAAAGATCGGTAGGTCAACTGACCTCTAACACAGTGATTACCATATGCTTGTCAAATGATGTTTGATTTTTGAGTAGATGTTTCTTAATGATGAGTGAAATGTCAAGAACGTGCAGTAGATATCTTGTGTATTTTTTTTTTTAATAAATATGCATCTGTTATTAATATTTGTATTTTTGCTTCGTTTTTTTTTTTGCATATATTTACATTTATTCTAAAAGTAATTTTGGTTTATAATGAGTATTCATTTATTAATTTGATGGTCTTAGTGATGATTTAAAATTATCTGAAAACAGGTTCTTTTCGCTACCTTCTCTCCTCCATATTCTTGTTAGGTATTTACTTATCTATAGTGTAAAAACAAATGCTAATTATTAATGGTAAATGTTGTAATCAGCAAACGGGCGACTTTAAAGACCTCGGAGCCCGTGGGAACATGACTGGGAACACTTATGTACACACACACTCAGGCCACTGAGTGGTCAACCAGGTCTCTCACTGCCGCAAGGCTGCCGGAACGGTACGGTATTTTTTTTTTTTTCTTGTACCTGTCAGAAATACCCTACCGTAATTTTGTATAAAATGCGTGCTAAAGGGATAACTGACAAAGTGGGGAGTGGATCTTCAACTTTCTAACCAATCGAACACAGAGTAGTGGTAAACAGTTAAATCAGAAGCTGCCGTAGTGAAAAACTGTTCCACAGGGCACAGTACTCTCCCCCATCCTGTTCCTCATCATCATATCTCAAACATACACAGAGATGGAATCCACAGCACCGTGTCATCGTTTGCAGACGATACTACGTTATGGAAAACTGGAGTAGATAATAATTAGAACTGAGTATACCACAAACTCAAATAATACAATAGAGCAAAAAAATAATGTGAGGGAAATGGGAGTGCCACCTAGAAAATAGTAGGGTGGATCATGAGAACATTCAAAACAAGATATGCGAAGCCAATGATCCTTTTCAAATCACTTTTTCTTTCTAGGCTGGAATTTTGCTGTACTTTTAACATCTCCGTTCAAAGCAGGTGAAACTGCAGATCTAGAGTACGTACAGAGAACCTTTACTACACATATAGGTTCCACCAAACACCTTAATTACTGGGAACGCTTGGAAGCACTTGACATGTACTCGCTGGAACGCAGGCAAGAGATGTCATATTCTACACTTGGAAAATCCTAGAAGGAATGGTCCCAAATCACTCCCTACGAAAGTAAAAGACTGGGCAGGCGGTGCAAAATACCCCCAAAGAAAAGTAGGGGCGCCGTTGGTACACTAAGAGAAAACACAAGTGTCCGGGGCCCAAGACTGTTCAACAGCCTCACACCAGGCATGTGGGGAATTACCAATAGATCCCTGGCTACCTTTAAGAGCTGGACAAATACCTAAAGTCAGTGCCGGATCAGTCGGGCTGTGGTTCGTACGTTGGACTACGTGCGACCAGCAGTAACAGCCTAGTTAAACAGGCCCTGCTCCACCGGGAGACCTGGTCATGGACCGGGCCACGGGAGCGTTGATCCCCGGAATATCCTCCTGGCACCGTACCATTCTGCCAATCTTTCCCATAGTCCGTACAGGACCAACGGCTAACTAATGAATGGGTCATAATAAAATAACTGTCAAGTGTTCTACTTTGATGAATGCAACAAAACAAAGATCAAACTTTAGGCCCGTCTCGATTCCTGCATAACTGTAAATGTATTGATAATTCTTTAAATAAACAAAGGATAATTGTAATAATTATTGTTGTGCTTACTGTGGTACCTAAGAGGAGGCAAAACTTGGTTATATCTCGTCGGTTCTCTGAACCATTTATCTAATAGTTGGTTATATCTTACCTTGACACCATCCGTCAAGGCAGTCTCTAAGAGGACTAAGCTCGGGCGTGGTGCTTAGGGTTGTCTAGATTTGTTACGTCACGAAACTAACTGGGCTAGGAAGCCTGCTGCATAATACACTTGGGCTGTTGCTAATGTGTGGGCCGCCAACTGCAACGGTCTAGTTGACCAGGCAAGCACCAGATGAGCCTGGCCCATGGCTGGGCTTCTAGAGTAGAAAAACTCTGTATTCATCAAAGGTATTGTATACATCTCAAAGGTAGGTATATCACCAGTATCAAGTTAATTTTTTGTTGGCGAGGGACACAGAATGCTTTTTGTAATTCAGTCTCGGTAACACATGTTAGCTTTGAGATGCGCTAAACCCGTGGGGGGTCATCAGCTCAAGTGATAGTGGAGGCTTGATCCTCAGTCAGATAGTCATGGATATAACCTTAATCTTCTTGGGCTGATTGGTCTGCACTAGTTTAGCGTTCCATAAAGGAGTAGAGGAACTAAAAAAATAATCTTCAGTCATAGGCATTAAACTGTCGTGCACATTGCATTCCAACTTATATATTCTATAAACAGACGGTTTAATTAGTAACCCCTGTTTTGCCCTGGGTTGCATTTCGAATATTTTGTCTTGATTAGTGCTGCCATCTGTCTGCCCTCTGCCTACCTCGAAGAGAGTCCTTGTCCTGCGACCTCCACCTTTTGACCGTTGACCGAGCACACAGGGCATCCTGCGACCTCGCACTTTTGACCGTTGACCGAGCACACAGGACACCCTGGACCCGCAGGTTGTCACTGGAAGTGACACAACCAGTTGTACTTATTTAACAGTACATCCCCACTACTTGACTGCTGTATCCTCGTATCTTAAGCTTAGATAATCCCAGAACCGACTCCTCGCCCTCATTATGAGCTCTAAATAGCCTAGACAAGAATGCAACCTGCCGCTACTGAAAACCTGACCAGATGCGCACGAATTATAAATTATTGACAAAGGAATTAAAGTTAAATTATTGAAGAGTCCTCTCAAGGTCCTCCAGGGACATCTTGCAACATAAAGTTGAAAGCATGGCTGAACGTGCATTAAATTAATATTTAACCAACAAATTTTAATAAATCGTTAGACTAAGTTTTTTTTAAGATCGTTGTAAAGTAAATTAGTATGTACACTACCATCCTAGTGAGTACCTACTCTAGGTACATTAATGTGTACATTACCATCCTAGTGAATGTACCTAGGTATACTCGCATAAGGTACAGTCTTGTGCCTTGATGATTCACTGTTGTGAAGGCGCCGAGTATATTTTTATTTTATGTTTATTTGATTTACCGTTAATGGAAGGAAGATTCATGTTGAGGCAGGTGCTTGGAGTGGGTCGTGAGACGGAGGTCGTGCAGGGGTCATGGAGAGGAGGGGTGGGGCCCAGGGGTCGTGGCTGGGTAGTAGGGGCGGGGGAGCTTCATGGAGAGGGTCGTGATAAGGTGTGACATGTTTATTTCAGGGTTACCTTGCAGTTTTAAACCCGCCAACTCTCACACACCCCAGACAAGCCTCGTCCTCGGCAAGTTTTTCCGGTTAACAGGTTTCTGTTTCACGCTTGCGTGACAGGCAGTACCTCCCTGGATGGTTGCTCTGTCTCCTACCGGAACATCAAACATTCGTCACCATTTTTAACTATTATATAACATGAATATAGGAGCACTGAAATGGACTCATTAACCCACGCTGTGTCGTGTTGATAAAAATGGCACTAGTAAAAATGTTATGTGAAGTACAGGAAAAATTAGCACCATAACCTAACCAGCATACATAGCTAACTTAACTGAACCTAACTAGTTTACATAGCTAACTTTAACCAGTTAGCATCATCCATCCATTCTGCATGAAACTTTATGCCTGCCCAAAATTAACTAATAATTTTTCTTACGTTTTTCTTGGATTATTTTTACCTGTGCAGTTCTGACCATTCACTGGTATAGCAGGTCCTAGTGTCGCCCAGTCATTCTCACTCGCGTATTTGTCTAATCTATTTTTGAAGCTACCCAGGAAGCTGGCTTCATTGACACTCTTTGCCAGTTTCTTACATTGATCCTAGACTATTTCTAAGCGGATTTTTCATTCTAATTCAAAATTTCTTTATTACGTCCCGGCTAGTTGTTTTGATTGGATATCTACCTAAAGCTAATGATCATTAAAAACGAGGTTTTTCACTTACGCCTTGACCCCAGCATGTTCAAGGAGGTTGTTCCGGGGGTCAACGCCACCCGCGCCCTAGTCCTTGACCAGGCCTCTCAATAGATCAGGACCTGATCAAACAGGCTGTTACTGCTAGCCGCACGCAATCCAACGTACGAATCACAGCCCTGCTAGTCGAGCACTAACTTTAAGTGTCTGTCTAGTTCCCTAATGAAAACAGCCAGGAGTGTATTGGTAATTCCTCTTATGTATGATGGGATGCTTCTTAAACAGTCTTGGGCCTCTTGACAAGTTTTCTTAGTGCACTCGTGGCGCACTGCATTACAATTGAGGGTATGTTACACAGTCTGCCAAGTCTTTTGCTCTCTAAGCGAGTGATTTCTATGTGCAGACTTGGGACCAGTCCTTGTAGGATTATTCTGGTTTAAATTATGTTGCATCTTTCTTGCGTTCCAAGGAATACAAACTTTCTCAGTACATTGAAGGTTCTCAGTTCATTCTCTAGATCTGCAATTTCGACTGCCTTGACTTAGGTTGTTATTATACAGCGGTATGCCAACCTACAGAGAATAAATAATATAAAAAAGGATCATTGGCATGGCATCCTTGGTTTTCAAGGTTCTCATTATCTGTCCTATTGAATTTCCTCTTAGAGTACCTACCTGTGGTGGTTATGTGGACCAGTGAGCCGCCAGTAACAACAGCCTGGTTGACCAGGCAAGTACCAGACAAGCCTGGCCCATGACCGGGCTGCGAGAGGAGCAGAACTCGAAACCTATGGATGGTAACGATACTGCATGGGCGAAACTTAGTCAGTGTCACAATTCTGCGTTTATTTCTACCATTTTGGTTTCATTTATTTGCATAGCATTTTCATAAGAACATAAGAAAGGAGGAACACTGCAGCAGGCCTGTTGGCCCATACTAGGCAGGTCCTTCACAATCCTTCCCACTAACAAAATATTTGCCCAA